TGTGGGCGTGGCTCAGGCTGTGGGGGGCTGTGGGCGTGGTTTGGGTTTGAGGCAGGGCTGTGGGCGTGGCTCAGGCTGGTTAGGGAGCTGTGGGCGAGCCTGGGTCTCAGACCTGTCTTGGGTGGTGCTGGAGCCTGGGACAGGGGCTCAGGCAGGGCTCAGACATGGAGGGGGCAGGGAATCGCTGGTTCTCCAGCCCCTGTCCTCCATCCTCTTTCCACAGGGCCCTGCTTGCCCTGAAGAAGCACCACTCGGGGCCCGCGTCCTCCCTTATTGAGGTCCTCTTCGGTGGATCAGCTCCTAGTCCAGCTGGAGACACACGTAAGAACCTTCAATTTGCCCTTATCCCCCCAAATTGCTGTTGAAGCATCTTCGAGAGCTAGGCCGTAGTCCATTTTAGCAGACCTTCGAGGAGGCTCTGGGGTGTCCAAGGTAAGCGCCGGCTGACTTGTGGTCACTCAGTGATCTGCAGGGGACAGTTTCACTTTCCCCAGCACATCAGAGAGTCTGATGCCTGATCTGGCTGTCATCCAGCCTGCTCTCAGCCCCACAGCACCTTCCTGCAGGACCAGGGCCCCTCTTCTCAGTTACAGCCCCTGCCGGGACAGAACTCAGAGCTTGCACCCAGTCAGGCAAGTTGGTGAGCTCTGGGAGTGACCTTGCTCTGGGGTGAGCTCCTTACTGACCCAATGACCACCCGGGAGTCCTTACTGACTAGATGACAACCTGGGAATCCATACTGACCTGATGACCATTTGAGAGTCCTTGCTGACCTGATGACCATCAGGAGTCTTGCTGACCAGGTGACTGCCTGGTGTGGGGTGATGAGGGATCTGGTCTACAGGCCTGTGGGCATCTCCGAATGACTCCTGTGTGTTAGACTCTGCTGTGCTTAGGACAGAAAAGTAGCTCATCTTGTTGTTTTTGAGAATATTCTTCCTAATGTGTCTTAAGTGTTTTATTCCAGAATGAAAGTCTTTCTTATAGCTCAGTACACTGTGAAATTAGTGAATGATTGATTATTTTTTATGCTTTGTAGCATATCTTTCTTTCTTTGAGAAATATCAATTCTCAAGGATTTATTTTTGAAACATTCTTCAAATCTCAGATAGTTACGGTGTCTGTGGCAGTGGGCTCACGTGTGTCAAGGATTACAAGGCTGGCACAGGATAGGACAGGGTTCAGATCTTCATAGGGCCGCTGTGACTCATTTGACTCAATAGCACTTATGACAATATTTGTGATTGTAGTGTCCTTCAGTCTGGCAGATGGTTGGCATTCTCGATCACTAACTGTGAGGTTTGAAGTTCAAGTCCACCTAGAAGCACTTCAGAAGAAAAGCTTGTTAATTTCCTTCTGAAAAAAATCTGTAATTAGAAACTTTATGAAGCACACCTCACCTTTGATGGCAATTTTTTTTTCTTGCTTTTAATAGCAATTTATGTTCCAATTGGGAAAGATTTACAAATAAAGATGCAGATAAAAAAAGAAAACTAAATCACTTTAGAGCATGCTGTGTTGGTTTGCTGGTGTTGTAGCAAATGCCACAAGGAGGGAGCTGTAAGGAGCAGGACTTTATTTCCTCACAGTTTTGGAGGCTAGGAGTCCCAGCTGGGGTCTCGGCCATTGTCGGTCCTTCTGGGGCCTCTCCGGTTGGTGGTGACTCCTGAGCCCTTGCTCCTTTGCTTGTGGACGAGCCTCTATGTGGCGTTTCCCTCGTGTGTGTCTGTGTCCATTCTGCTCTTTTTATAGACACCACTCAGAAGGGGCGGGAGTCAGTGCCCACCGTGCACTGGGTTGGCCTCAGTAGTGGGACAGAAGACAGCCTCTGTGTCCAATAAAGGCCCTACTCAGAGGAACAAGGGTTAGGACGGCCTGGATTTTTTTTTGGGACACATTCCATCTGTAGTCTCACCTTGGAGGTGGTGTGGCTTCTGTCCCAGGCCACCACAATCAAGGGAGACACAATTTTTTTACTTCCCAGTGAGGCAGTAGTTAGAACAGAGCAAGGTAACACCGCATGGTTCAAAATTGGGAAGGGTGTATGTCAGGGATGTGTCCTATCTCCATACCTTTTCAACCTGTATGCAGACCAGATTATCCAAGAGGCTGGGCTCTATGAGGAGAAGTGTGGCGTCAGGATTGGTGGACGATCTATCAACAATTGGTGCTATGCAGATGACACAACCCTGCTTGCTGAAACTGAGGAAGACCTGAAGTGCTTGCTGCAGAGGGTCAAGGACTGCAGCCTTCAGTATGGACTGAGGCTCAATGTCAAGAAGACAAAGATTCTCACCACTGGACCAATTGGCAGCATCAGGATGGATGGTGAAGAGATTGAGATTGTTCACAGCTTCAGTTTGCTTGGCTCGACAGTCAACACTCTTGGCACCAGCAGCCAGAAAATCAAAAATCGTATTACGATGGGAAAGTCTGCTGTTGGGGACCTCTCTAAAGTACTCAAGAGCAATGGTGTGTCTCTGGAGACTAAGGTGTGCCTGATACAGGCCATTGTCTTTGCAATCACTTGTTATGCATCAGAGAGTTGGACAATGACCAAGGAGGATAGAAGGAGAATTGATGCCTTTGAGCTGTGGTGCTGGAGAAAAGTATTGAATGTACCCTGGACTGCCAAGAAAACGAACAGATTCATCCTGGAGAGGGTTAAACCAGGCTACTCCTTGGAGGCAAGGATTCTGGGGCTTCGTCTGACATACTTTGGACATGTTGTAAGGAGGGACTGGTCCTTGGAGAGGGACATCATGATTGGGAGGGTGGAGGGACAGCGCAGGAGGGGAAGACCCTCTATGAGGTGGATTGATTCAGTGACTGGGGTAATCGGGATGGGTGTGTCGCAATGCGGTTGGCACAGGATAGAGCAGAGTTTAGGGCTGTTGTACGTAGGGTCGCTATGAGTTGCAAAGGACTGGACGGCACATAACAACAACAACAGCAACAGTGTGTGGAAGAGTTGACACTCTTGGAATAGACTCATGGGATAGTTTGAAGTATTGTCAGAATGACCAAAATGTGGCCCCGAGACTCCGGGTGAGCACATGCCGTTGAGAAATGGCTCTAGTAAACTTGTTCAAGGCAGGGCGGCCACAAGCTTTCTCTGAAAAAAAATAGAGAAATCACTGAGACTGAGAGGCCACCCGATGGGACGGGGTTCTGTCTGTGATGGGCGCAGTTCCCGTCTGATAGACTTGGTTTTCATTTGTGATGGTCACAGTTTCTGCCTGTGATGGGCACGGTTCCCGTCTGTGACAGGCACGGCCTCGTTGGTGACCTGCACTCTGGAGGGAGGTGAGTGTGTGCCAGGCCTGACCACTGTCCTCCTTCCACAGATGCGCTCAGCTTCTACAACCCCTCTCTGGACGCCTCCCAGAAGGAAGCTGTGTCCTTCGCGCTGGCCCAGAAGGAGCTGGCCATCATCCATGGGCCTCCTGGCACCGGCAAGACCACCACGGTGGTGGAGATCATCCTGCAGGCCGTGAAGCAGGGCTCCAAGGTGGGCAGGGCGCTGTCAAGGACTGACCACCGTCCTGGACAGTCCTTTGGGCGGGGCTTTTCCGGCCTGTGCCTGCTTGGGGCCATGACTGGGCGTGACTTATTTTATTCATTTACTTTTAATTTTTTATCGTGATTGGGGTGAAGGTTTACGAGCTGATGGTTTTCCACGCACAGTTCACGCACACTGTGCCTCCTGGCGTTGATTGCAATCCCGGGGGCGTGTTCTTGACTTTATTTAAAGCTCAGGTTTCATTGGTGAAGAGTTTTCTGAGAACGTGTGTGAGTGACACGAATCCGGAGTTGGCGTGTGTCTCGCCCAGCGGGCTGGGAGAAAAGCTGTGATCACCTCCGGGGGGGGCGGGGTGTGTGCAGAATGAGGGTCACGCCCCCAGCGGGTGGTCAGCTGCCTCATTTGTCCTGGAGCCCTGGTGACACAGTGATTAAAGCACTTGGCTGTGAATAAGGAGATCAGTACTGTCCACCAGCTGCACCGTGGGGGAAGGATGAGATGGGAGCTACTGTGAGGACCGCAGCTCAGAGGCAGGTCAGCTCCGTCGCGCCTGGCCACTGTGAAGGTCCATGGACAGCTGTGGGCAGGCCACTTGGTGATACTAGCACTGCCGAGTATCAGAGACCCCCGGTCCTGAGTGAGCAGGGTGGGCTTGTCACCCTGGGGTTCTGGCTGCTTCCGAGTCAGTCCCTGTGGGCAGAGTGGACCTGTGGACTGAGTGTTGGGTAACAGAACACAGGCTGGACCTTTTCTGAGTGACCACCCCACGGGAGAGCCAGGCACTTCCATCTGGGCCATGAGAAAGGCTCCTGCTCGCCCTGCCTGGGGCGCATCTGCCCGTCCCACTGCCCATGCTGGACTCGCACCTGAGCTGGGGCTGGTGTGAACACGGCCTCATCTGTGCCTCGGGGAGCCCTGGGCCTGGTGGTGGTGGGGGGACAGGTCATGTAGTCAGCTTCCTGCTTGGTGGACCTGGGCCACGTGTGCTCTCAGGAGCCTGGCTCTCCGACGTGGATCGGAACGTCGTTTTGTCACTGCGTGCATTTCTCAGATGACACTATGTTGTGGGTGAAGGTTTGTGCAGAGGCCGGGGTCCCACTCAGTCATTTCTGCCCAGGTGCTTCAGGGACAGTGGCTCCTTCTCCATACACAAGGACACATTCATACTGTGTCCCGTCTGGTGGTTCTGTTTCCTTGAGCTCGCCTGCCTGCCTCCTTACAGCCTCGTCTGTGTCTGAAGTCACCGTTGACCACTTGGCTTCACGTAGAGAGGTGATTTGGTGATTTTGTGAAGACACGCATGCTCAAGGCTGACACGCTGCGTTTTGTGAGCCAGTCTGTGACTTGGAGACGGGGGATCTCTGGGGCTAGTTTCAGTCAGTGTTTGAAGAGAACCTCAGGGCAGTGGTCTTGGGCACCGTCAGGGTCTCCGGGTCTCAGAGTGGGAGGGGCCGTGGTGCGTGTGGACGGTCTACCCTTGTGGAGTAGTAAGGGGGCCCATGGAGCATTTGGAGGGTCTGCCCTGTACTGTGGGGGCTGTGGTATGTGTGGACGGTCTGCCCTGTGGTGGATGGGGTGTGGTGTGTGGTTGGGGTCTGTCCTGTAGTCTGGGGGCCTGTGGGGTGTGTGTGTGGGGTCTGCCCTGTGTATGGGGGCCTGTGGTGTGTGTATGTGGTCTGTCCTGTGGGGGGGGCCCATGGTGTGTGTGGGGTCTGTCCTG